ACATTTTTCATAAGAGTGACAAACTCAATAAATGAAAATACCATTTAAAGGAAATATTAATATTACTAGGACTTTAGGCAAACAAATAAATGCATTTTACATTAATAACATAACCACAGAAGCTTTTTTGATGACTATAGAATGGGACTATTCAAATACCCTTCATAAGATGGCAAAATTATGAAATAAATTTTACTCATTTTCCCAGGTCCAAGGCAGCCAATGCTAATTAATCATGCCACTCTTTTCTACAAATCTGGATGTGGCTTTAGAATTTGTCTTATTATAGCACTTTAGGAGGACATTACTAATTGATTAAGATGTTGGTCCAAGAATGGAGCCCGTATGTCATCCTGTAAATCATGTTTTATGCCTTGGGTGGTTGCCCTCATTTACAAAATTGAGAGCTTTAGGGGACACACTTGGAGCTAGATGGGATAAAAGGGACATTTGCTCAGTTAGCCAGAGTAGTCAATTCAGCAACTTGGGGTGATGGAGGACAGAGCCAAACCACTGTTATAGTTGACAATAAACGATATATTATTACCACCTAATCCTGTTACTAAGATCAAGTTTCTAGTAGGATCAAATTCTCTTTGATGTTTAAGAGTCAGATAAGATGTATTCATTCATGTGAGCTTGTCTTAGAAAACTCACTTACTCATTGATAAATCTGAAGTAAAAACTACCAAGTGCTATTTTATCCAGGGAAACTCCTTTTAGAAGGAATCAGGCGAACTTTTACAGAAGAAATGACATTTCACTGGCCTTTGCAGGGTGTGTAATACTTCCAGAGAAACAAGGTATGTATGTAGGGGAGGTGGGGTATGGCTGTTGGGGTAGAGGGGATGTAACATTTTTGCAATATTTGCAAAGGAAATACATGAGTATGACAAATGAAGTATATGTAGTTTGTGATTAGGAATAATGAGTCGTCCCTTGTGGCTGTAATATAGGGTTCATGAACAGATGTGTAGGAGGTTAAAAGAATAGAGTGAAATCATAAATTGAAGAGCCTTGAATATCAAAGAGTTTGGATTTATCCCATGAACAATAGGAGCCAATCATATTATTAAATAGAGAGAGGACTGATTGGAAACTAGTAGATTGCCTTAGCTGCAGTGCAGAGTATGGCAAGGAGGAGTTTGCAACACTGGAAGGCAAGGAAATGGGCAGAGAGAAGCCACTACATGTGTCCAGATAAACAATGATGAGGATCTGAACTAGGACAGTGACCATGGTATAGGGAGGAGGGAACAGAATAAAGATAGACATCAAGTTTACGAGATGTCTAAAAAACAGGGTGGGAATCAATGAAATCTTTGAGATTTCTGGGCTAGATGATGCTTTTAACTGAGATAGAGAACATAGTAGGGGGACTGTCTCCAGGAAGAAGCTAGTGTGGTTTAAGGCAAGTTGAGGTTAAGATTTTGGGGGATACTCAAGTTGTGATGTCTAGTTAATTGTTAGATGTACCAATTTAGTGTTCAAAAGGCAAGATGGAATTGGCAATAGATATTTGGGAGTCCGCACAAATGAGATAAAACCACAGGAGTAGATAAGCTCATATAGAATGAGAAAAGTGCTAAAAACATAACCCTGGAAACACCAACATTAAAACAGAAGAACAGAAATGGTAAAAGAAAATGTCTTAAGTGCTAGAAAGGGGAGGGCTTAAAGGCACGAGTCTGAAAAATCAGTATGTGCTGGCTGAGGCCAAAGCAGACTGCAGTGGATAGACAGAAATGTGGAAAAAAGCCATCAGATTTGGAGGTAGATAGATAGTCCTGGGTATGGGTCTTGGCTCTGCCAATCTGTATTTAGTAGCTTTTAGTAGATCATGCTGTATGACATACAGCACCAAGTCTCAATGGCTTACAAAAACATTTCTCTCTTTCTCATGTTGTATGGTAGTGGCTGCAGGTCAGCTGTTATAGCTCTTCTCTAGGCAACGGTAAAGTTCAAGCTCATTTCTTGTTCCAGGATTCAGATTAGCAGAACAGCGGCTATTGGGGCATGATGCCTCATGGCAGAGGGCACAGGAGCAGCAAACCAATTTGAATAAGCAATCACATTCAAATTTCTTTTCTTGGATGGCTTATGCCATGTTCATTCATGTTCCATTGGCTTAAGCAAGTCAAATGACCAAGTCCAACATCGATGAGGCAGGGAAGCCCAATATGGGGAGATGGAAGTGACTACAAATAATAATATAATCTACCACATCATCTAAAAATGTTGTAACTCTGGGCAAGTTACGTCAGCTTTATGGGCTTCAGTTTCCCCATGTGTAATATGGGGATATTAGCATTAGTTTCCTAAGATTGTTGAGAGAATGAAATAAGATTGTGCGTATAAAACCTACTACAGTTCCTAGTACATGACAGATACTTTATACATATGAGCTTGCCTTGCCTCGGTGCTGAAATTACATGGCTCCATGATCATAGGAGATTAAGTTAAACTTTCTACTCTACATTTTTCTTTTCCAAATGACCAGATGACCAGTAGGACCATTTCTGGCTCTAAAATCCTCTGTTTCTAAAAGTCTATACTAAATAATTGACCAATCCCTTACCCCCAAAGAACCCCCTGGCTTAAGAGGAAACTACAAGTTCATCAGCGGTTTAATTTGGTTTACATCTTTTTGGCTCAGCCCACTACGGAATGAAGAGAGACTTGTTCAAATAAACCTACAGAATCTATAGAAATCAAGTGCTTGGCAGATCATCTCATCCTCCGTTAGCAACACTGTTTAAGTTTACAGAGAGGGTGATGCTTCACATAGAAAGGTCAAGATATTCTCACTTCACCTGGAGGAATTTAGCCAACTTGAATAATAAGCCCTGTTGGTGAGATGTGAAATCTGACAGCAAGTGCGGAAATAGTTGAAGAGGAGGCATTGGAAATGCTTGGAGTCTTCTCAGGTGTCACCTGGTGCCTTATAAATGTGTGAAAGCCTTGAAATGGTGTCTAGCAGAGCCCTGGAAACTACCCACTATATGTCACTGACAGTTTCACAGAGTGGAAGCAGGCAGAGGCATGTCTGAACAATGTTCAAGTGACCAAGTGTATCAGTTACGATTGTGAGTCACGACAAGGTACAAAAAAAAAAAAAAAAACCCCAAAAAACAAAAAAAACAGACCACAGTGGCTTATGTAAGATGGAGGTTAATTGTACCAGGTAGCCATGATTTTGGAAGTAGGTCGGCCCCTGTTTCACAATGGTATTAACATCTTGGGAATTTTTCGTGTGCATCAGACTAGAAGAAGGTTGGCATGGAAAATTTTTCTAGGTGGCAGATTAAAATTTAAGCTTAAACCCAAATTTAAGCTTAAACCCAAAATTTAAGCTTAAATGCACCATTTCACAGGTGCATTTCAATTTTAACGTATAGCTTAAAGGGGTTGACCAGATGCCTAATTTAAATATCTCACTTAAAAATTAAACAGAGTTAATTGGTTAAATATCTAAGCACTTACCACAGGCTCTCTTCTGGTTTGGGTTTGTAAATAATAGAACAAAACACAAGATTCGGTCCAAGCTTAGACGTAAATAGACTTAATATACAGAGGAAAGAGACTATTACACGCAGGGAAAACATCTCCAGTTAACCTAGTCTTGACACAGCAGTAAAAGGAATCTTTAGGGAACATTAATCAGATACTCTTTGCTTAAAACTCTTGAATATTTTGATTGCATTTAGAGCAAAATCCAAACTCCCTACTCTGGCATAGTTGGTAAGCCAGCCCTTCCTCTCCAACCCGATTCTGCACCACTGTCCCCTCATTCTCTCTGGTCTAGCCACACTGCTCACAATGCCAGTTTCTGCCTCAGAGACTTTGCATCTATGATACCCTTCTC